TACAGTAACATCACAATATACAGTAACATCACAATATACAGTAACATAACACTCCCCCTCATATCGTCCTCCAATAATATCACTAATCTGTGATCATTTATGTTCAGTAAATGTTCCATGTGAGTCCATTCAGACAGGATGGGCCACATCACATGTGGGAGTTGTGAGTTGGAAAATGAGGACATCAAGGAAGAAAAGTGTTCTGTGACTTTTTCAGTCATGGAGTTTGTTCACACAAAAGTGGAATGTCATGAAAAGATGTCTCGTCCTTTCTGCTCTGCACTGTGCAAATCGTGCGAGGTCGTTCGTCTCCTCTCTGTTATTCTCTTGCAATGATGAGTCCTCAATGAGCTCTGAGCAAACCTTCAAACTGAGCTGAACAAAATGAAAAAAATTTGTAGGAGGCCACTGCCTCTCAGGAAGACCTCATATCCTGTCTGTAGGAACACCATTGTTCTCTCCACTTCCTGTTTCCTGAGCACAGCTTCTTCATCAACAGAAATGTAATTCTGTAAAGGAGGAGGAGTGAAAAACGATAGTTGATCTCACGGTTCTATTTTCATGAACCAGTCTCTCTGTAGTCACTGGTTGTGGTCCAGTGACATGTGACCTGTTTGTTTGCTTGTTTCTGTACTGAGGTGGATCAGCCCCCTCTGGCTCTACAGTCATGTATCACTTGACAAAGTACACAACATGCATCTCTGCTTGTCTGTGTTGGTTCAGGGGGGCTCCTGCAGGCCTCAGTGCCCTCCTGTGCCAGGCTGCGCTGTCCCAGCTGCTGCAGAACGACCTTTCACCTTTCCACTGTGCACAGGAAGCTGAGCACAACCAGGAAGAGGAGCAGCAAGTAGTTTGTAAGTGTTTTACCTTAAGCTCATTCTGGAGGCTGTAGTTTGTGGTGCTTTTAAATGTTAAATGGTATTGTGTTGTACTGAGGGGTGTCTCTATAGTCCACCCTTATTGGGACTTGTTGCATCATTCCCAAGAAGACTCATGGCTGTACTAGCTCAAAAGGGTGCTTCTACTCAATACTGAGCAAAGGGTCTGAATACTTATGACCATGTGATATTTCAGTTTTTCTTTTTTAATAAATTTGCAAAAATTTCAACATTTCTGTTTTTTTCTGTCAAGATGGGGTGCTGAGTGTACATTAATGAGAAATAAAATGAACTTTTTTGATTTTAGCAAATGGCTGCAATGAAACAAAGAGTGAAAAATTTAAAGGGGTCTGAATACTTTCCGTACCCACTGTATATACTGTGTGTATAGTGTATATGAACCAAAAGGTTATTATTGATCTCTTTGTTGATGTGATCTGACCACCAGTGCTTCAGTCAGACGCAGTCCAGCGTCTCTTCCTCAACAAGCTGATAGACGTGACACTGGCTCGGCATCAGGACTTCCCCAAGCATCCCCCCTCCCCCTCCCCCTCCCGGTTCCTCCACTGCTTTGTTCATGCCATCAAGAACACAAGGAGGAAGATGGAGGACAAACACTTGGCCCTGGCTGAGTTCAACCAGCTGTTTGGAATCCAGGTACAATGCTTTCACTGCAGCAACACTGCTTCTCACTGGTTTTCTTGCCAAAACACCTTCAAAATGACTGAAGGCCTTTCTTTTGTCTCTCCGTGGTCCAGAGTGGAGTGGATTGTGCCTACTACGCTGTGTTCGATGGCCATGGAGGGGTGGACGCTGCCACCTACGCTGCCGCTCACCTCCATGTTGCTCTGAGTAAACAGGAGACACTGCAGAGTGACACAGCCACCGCCTTTAAAAGTGCCTTCAAACACACAGATGATATGTTCAGGGGCAAAGCCAAGAGAGAGGTACGAAAGCAGCACCGGGCCAACATCCTGAACACACGTATGCGTGCACCATCACATACGCACACATATTGTGTCTCTGGTATATTCTCTGTACAAGTTCTATTCTTGTTCTAGTCGTATAAAAACCCTTTGACAGCCGACGCCACGGTGCTGGAGGTAAAACAAAGGAAAGTCTGAATGCAAACACTAATCACCTCAGTAGTTCCACATCAGTGATGTCATCTAGTTGTGTTGTTGGGTGCCACAATCAATATTGCTTACATTTGAGGTGATAAACTGTGATTAGAAGCTTTAGCGAGCAAAAATATCGGCGAAGCGTTTCAGAGACGGAGAGAAAATGAATAAGCTCCTCAGCCGTCAGGGCAAAAGGCAACTATTAAGAGCAGGGATTAGATTAGAGAAGACAAAGGGTGTATTCCTCTTATTAGGGCCCGAGCACCGACAACGTCGGGCCACGAGGACCCTATTCAAACTGTAGCAATTATTATTATTTTTCTCTCCAATGAATCGACTTTCTGGAGGCTTTATCATATCCGAAAACTCAACAAAGTTGTCATGCATATCAGGACTGTGGGAAAATTTTGATATTTTATGGGTCTCATGCTCGAGTATGAGAAGAAATTGATCGCTAGCGCCCCCTAGAATTTAGCCCCCTCATCCCGTAGGTCCGATTAACTTGAAACTTTACACCCACATACAACCAAATGAGGTCTACAAAAAAGCCTCTTGGACCCCGAAGCTCCGCCTACCAAAATGTTCCGCCATTTTGAATTTAGTGAAAAACACATTTTTGCAAACTCCTCTTACACACTAGGTCTGATTGCTACTAAATTTACTGTGGATCAGTATCGGATCTATATCATAACATTTTATCAAAAGCTTTTTGATATCTCATTTCGTTCAGAAGATATGGACCAATGAACTTCATAAGGCGTGGCTTTGTTTTTCAATACTCATAACTTCAAAACCATTTAACCTATAATCACAAAATGTGTCGTATATGTGCACATCGCATCCTGTTATGTACCCTAACATTTTCATTCCATTCAACCTCTACGGAGCGATACAGTAGTTAAGCCATTTTTGGCTTTTTTGTCAATTTTCATTGTTTTCATGTGTTGTACTTTAACAAACTCCTCCCACAGAATTCATGCGATCGACTTCAAATGTGTTCAGGATGATCTAAAGATATTAATGATGAAAAGTTACTGAAATGGTCTACTGACATTGAACGACCTTCGTTTTATGTGGCGCCCATTGCCGTGGTAACGCGTCATTCACCATGAAAAGGGAAGCATGTTGTTCTGTAGCTTAGGATGCTCAGCACGCCTGAGGACTTTGCACAGGTGCCAAAGGTGATGGACATGAATATTTCATATGGCTTTTTGGCTTGACCGTTTCAAATTACCTCAATAGCGCCCCCTACAAATATTCGAAAACGCAGCCCCAGCGCTACATTTGATCTACATGTATGACATTTTGTAGGAACATGTATCACATGGAGACTTAAAAAGGGGGGGGGACCATGCTCTAAAGTTAACAGGAAGTCGGCCATTTTGATTTTGATAAATGTTTAACTTTGTTATTGTAACAGATGTGGGCAGGACATGGAAACTCAAGGGATTGTTTCCAGCGTGTCTTTGCTCCTGCAAAGATATAATAACCTTCATTTTCTTCTGGTCTCTCTCTGCTCCTCTGCTCCTTCAGCAATGCCAAACAGCTCTGTCTGAATTCATCTTTATTCTTAAAATACAAACAGGAACACTAATGTCACATTACAGTATGTATACTTTAGCAATTTACAGGAAAACATCTAATCTAAATCATAACAAAAAACCATAAAAACGGTATACAACAGTAAAAACACCTGGTGGGCAAAGTACAAAGGTGCGTGTGGTTGCGTGACTAAACGGACATTATGAAGACATTATGACCCGTTACTGTACTCTCCTTCTGCAACACCAACGTCAGGAAACATTCATAAAAATGACGGTAAATGAAAACAGCTCATGAAGATATCCGGAACATCAATAGACTTTGGTGTTTATGACCAAATGAAGACCCGACTACATGGTCCCGGTGTAGACCGCATTGTGTCCTGCGTCCTGCAAGCTCTAAACCGAGTATTTCCATTAAGTCAGGACGCGTCTGAGACGGACAATCTCCTGTCATGTGCTACGTGTGTGAAAGGCCTCTCCCGACATTGTCTGGACATGTATGAGAAAACCTCTTGAGGGTTTCTGGTCGGGCTCATTGATAATGTGTGTGTGTTGTCAGCGTCTGCGGAGCGGCACTACAGGAGTGGCGGTGCTGATCCAGGGACAGCAGCTGTCTGTGGCTTGGCTGGGAGACTCTCAAGCAATACTGGTCAGAGAGGGACAAGCTATAACACTCATGGAGCCCCATAAACCAGACAGAGAGGTAGGGATCTCACACACACACACACACAGAGACAATTGAATTGCCCCGCCTACAAACATTTGTGTGTTTGTCTGACTGAACGTCTGTTCTGCGATGGTTCTTCACCAAAACGCTGGGGGTCAATGTGATGAGCTGATTGATGACAGTCACATATGGCACATGTGGAGTTCATCTCTCTTCTGTCCTTCACTGTCCAGGATGAGAAGCAGAGGATCGAGGAGCTTGGTGGCTGTATCACCTTCATGGGTTGCTGGCGTGTTAATGGCACCTATGCTGTATCCAGAGCTATAGGTGAGTCAACAACAGCCAACAACAGCAGACAATCATGCATTGGTGTGTTTTCCCCTTTTTGTTTTGGGCTTAAAGCTATGGTAGGTAATGTATGTTAGAAACCTTTGTGATTATAGTTGTTGAAATACTCATTTGATCCCGACAGTAATAAATCAAATGCTTTGCATAAAGAATATGTTAATAAATGTTTCATGCAATGAAATGTTTTCCACTGTTATGTGTTATGTGAAACAACTTCACACATATTGCAATATTTTCCAATTGCTGAGATGTTTAGACAAAAGCATCAGAACGCTAACTTCTGTCACTATGCCAGATACAGAGACACCAAAAGTCTTTGTTTGTTCTATTCTGCCACACACTTCTTGCAAAACACTACACACTGTTTCTTGCATGAGACACACAAGAATACAATCTTCTTCAACTTAAATCTTATTTAGGGGCTTCATGGCAAATGGGGTTAATGCATATTAGTTTTTGAATGAGGCCCAATGTTAGTGAATTAACCCATTTCACATGTTACACCATGTCGACACATATTACCTGTTTCCTAACCTGAGAACAATGAATGCTGAATGTGGAGCTCTTTGTCACTTCCTCACTGTTTGAACCCAAACTAGACCTCTAGTCAGTGTGTGTGTGTATGCCACCATCTACTGGACACATTCTGCTTGTGTTTTTTTTTTTTTTAGGTGAACATGAAATTGGCTCATAACTGAGAATAAAAGTGACACATTTCTAGTGTCACTTATAGGTTATTTGTTACACTCAATAGAAAACAGCTCTGTCCTTGATACGAAGAGATTGAACTCTTCTTTCTGCTGTTGATACAAACTTGCATCCACTCTGAACTCTATTGACCGCTCCCTCTTGTGGACAAACTGTAAAATTAACCGTTTCATTTCATTTAACTGATTCCTTGTTCAATTTAGGAAGTCTGTTCTTCAGCATTTCTGATATTTGTACTGCAATTACCAAACATGCTGACCCTGATATATCTGTGAAGAGCGTATTAGTCAACAGCCCAGCCTATCGCTTGGTCGCCTTCAAGCCTGATCTGAGTACGTCTGCTGTGTTTAGCTGAAACTGCTGACCACACGTCCACATCCCTCCTCCAGGTGACTTTGACCAGAAGCCCTATGTGTCTGGAGATGCTGACTGCTCCACAACCCAGCTGTTAGGGGACGAGGACTACGTGCTGCTGGCATGCGATGGCTTCTTTGATGCAGTCAAACCTTCAGAGGTCCCACAGCTGGTCCTGGATGCACTCCATCAGTCTGTTGACCCCGAGGTCGGGAGAGACGCTCCGCTGGAACAGTCAGAGGACACTGTTGGACTGAGAGTCGCTCAACAGTTGGTAAGTCACGCTAAAGCAGCCGGATCTAGTGATAATATCACCGTGATGCTGGTGTTCCTGCGTCCACTTAAACAGCTTTGGGCTCAGAACTCCAGCACAGGAGCTGCACGAGATGCACCGCAGCAGTGAAGAAGGAGGTCTGCTGTGGTGGTGATACAGACACCACCGTGCCAAGCTGCTGCCCAACTGCCTATTTCTGTCAGAGTGACAAAGTTCATTGATGCTAACAAAACACATGAACACAGCATACTCTGTCACTGCTTTGGTGGAAAAGTGTTATTTCAACTTGAACGGTGTGATAGATGATGAAGGGCTCACAGATCAAGCCAGACTCACAGGGAGGCTGTGGGTCCGGGTCTCCAGACAAGCTCCCTGAAGCCAAAAGAGCAGCATTCTGTCTGCGTCAGGTTGGCTGCTCATTAATCATTTATTTGTTTAAGTATATGCTCTATGCGAGCATCATATAACTGTTTATGTATGTTTGTCTGGTGCATGTCAAATATGATTTGATTTGAATGTGAGTACCTGATCGTCTCACGTGATACTGACTCTCTAATAAGGGCTGCGTGTGTGTGTTCTCTTGTAAAAGAAATAGAGCTAACATGAGTATTGCAAACTTTGTTTCTGTTACATTTTTTACTTTTTACTGAAACAGATGTGTGATTATGAAATGAATATCTTAGTCATTTATTCTTGCCATAATGATGAACTATATTCATAAGTAACGACTCACTATGTGGTTTTAATTCTGCTCTTCGAGCTTCATGTTCACTACTCCGTTGTAAGGTTCAGGAGAGCAGAGTGGGCCCCCCCCTCTGAACATGTGTTAGGGTTAGGGTAGCGTAACCTCATTGGTCAGAGGGCTGATCCATTCCATACACGTGTGATTGCTAATCTTTGGAAGCTCTAATTTTCATATTGAATTTTGGTGTCTGAATCCAATTTCAGCAAATTGCACCAATTAGTAACCTTCTGGAAATGTCAAAGAGGGGAAGCGATGTTTGCTAAGTCCCACCCCTCCCTAGTTACTGTACCATGCCTCTCACCACGGATCTATAGAGAGACCTGGATACAGCAGTGGAGGCGGGGCCTCATTCATTCCTATAAGAGTTGCTAAGTGGCGCTTCATATTATATTAGCAAATATTTAAAATGTTGCTTTATAGCCGGCGTTCTTCCTGGAGGCTCAGCTGTCACTTGGCACACAGAGCCATCATTCACCATCTCAGCTTGAAGTATGTTCTGAAGTGATGCCTCCTTGATTTCAGTCAGAGGGTTTCTAGCCGGCAACCTCAATTTTGGCGGCTGAAAAGCCAACTCACTCTGGCAGATTTCGTCAGCTGTAGCTAACTAGCTAATTCAGCTAATGTGAGCTCCGTGACTTAGTTCTCCATTTAGTATATTTATTGAGTTTACAAACATGAATCTCTCAAAAATGGGCCTTAAATAAGGCTAGAGTAGCTCCTTTAAGAAGAGCACAATTATGTAATAAGCTAAAAAATATGTTCACTGTTTGCCTTGGAACCACTGCTGCGTTAATACTTAAAGTAGCAAACCAGTTAGCCAAATATGCTAATCTGAGCAATCTCTGTTTGGGGGAGGGGCTTAGCGAAAGGTCAGTTCACGCCACGTAAATGCTTTTAATAGATATCTACGGCCTTTTTGGTCTTCATGCTCTGTATTAGTACTTTTGTCCATTTTAAGTTCTCATCTATCGCATCTCATTCATATGTTCTCTATGCATCATCTGTATTACAGTTCTAATAAAGATTTTGGATTGTTTTCAATCTGCAGTGAGATTGGATTCACACTGACATTCATTTGAGTATTTTCTCTCTAAGTGTCAACGAGTGCTGCTCGCTGGACACAGTTGTGGCGCCTGTCTGATGCTTGCCACTGTAGTGCCACTGACTAGTCACTCAGGTGCCAGTGCCACAAGGAGGATCTCGCTGTCTCTCAAAATATAATCTTTAGCTTCAGTCTCAAAAATGCAATCAGCCTTTAAGAACTGATAACATTATATCTCTAATGCTAAGCAGTATGTCTGTAAAAGATGTGTGCACTGTGCACTACACAGGAGAGGACTTGCAACTGGCCCTCAGCTGTAATTTAGAAGGATTGAGAAACTGTTTGTTTTGAATCTCTGGAATACAGTGCATGCTAATTCTAGGATATTCAACCTGTGTTTCTTTAACATGTCTGTAATACTTGCCTTCGTTCTGTACAGGGCTTGTATAAAAGCAGAGAAGTAGTCCATGAGTTTACAGATAATTACAACCCCTCCTCGGCATTGTGGAGGTTGTTTTATAGCCATTATTATTATTTGCCAGTTAAACTCGTTGTCTTTTTGATTCTTCACAGTTCATTCTTTTGTACACCCAGGTACATGAGGTTTCGGAATATAACGCAACATGTTCATGAAAGTTAAAAATGTCTTATTCAGTGTTAGGTTGTACTCAGCTCCACCCTCTCGTATTAATTATAGTTGCAAAAAACGAGATGGCGACGGCAAAAATGCCAAACTGTCAGCGAAAGTCCTACAATTGCAATGATGTTCATGATTTCAACAATTAACTCAAACTATATTTGGTGCTTAGATATGTGTGTTTCACCATGTTCACGTTGTACCTGTTGAGTCACTACTGTGAAGAACAAAAGGAACACCTTTGCCACACACCTTGTCTTGTGGATGAGGCACGCCCTGCAGAGTTGGCCTAACCTGCCTGGAATGCGGCATCAGTTAGAATGGGAGGGGACATGTACACAAAGACGAGGCTCATTTCAGACACACTATGAGAAGACAAACCGTCTGAACCGTTTGCCGTGTTTTACAGTATCGTCCAAGCAAGAACTCCAGGTAAGAGCTACCGGAGCATGAGCTTTGTGTGATTTAGCTTTTCAGCATAATGTAGAAACAAGACTTATCATGTCCTCAGCTTAGTGAGCTCATGAGCCTGCTCTTTAGATGGGACCGTGTATTGTTTGTCACAGGTGTTTTCTGTAATAGTGCTGATTAATATGTGAATATGTAATAAGTCAATGGGTACTTATCTTTATTAACATCTAAAATATCCCCGTTGGTTCACGTTGTTTGTTTGTACTGACACGTGGAATTCTAACTCATAGTGGCAATGCTGCATGGACTTGCTATAAGTGCTATATAATGATCAGCTATTGAAATTATCATTGTCTCCTTATGTCTATATACTTTAGACATTTATGAGATAATATTGTCCAAAATATTAATGTGACAAAAGTAGAGCAGTAGCATCGTCTTTACAAACATGAACAATGCTTCCATTTTGCTTGGGCGAGCAGAGATATTCTCTATAGGGTGATGTGAAAACACTCACAAAAGTAATATGCACAATATGCGAGTAGCACGCGCGGGGCGGCACCTCGACACGCGCGCATGGATCTCATTTCGGCTGGAGGATACTGACATTAATTAGCCTTCACAGTGATTTTAGGTGGTACACTTCCTCCATACATTGACATGAATAATATCAATGTGAGAGATACTGAGTGGAGAGAAGAAATGCTATCCAAGAGTACATTTAGAATTATTTTTTTATAATTAATGTTGCTTGTGTAGACGGTAATATTATGCCGACAATAGTTGTGCTTGTGCAGACAGTTTTGGTTGTCCAGCTGCAAAAGGAAATATGTCCTTCTGGAATATGGATGGATCTTAAAAGAGCCTTTGGGTTAAAGGGTCAGCACCCTCCAGGCAAAAGTGTGAGCTGTAGGTCTCCCTAACTACTAAGGCCTCCTCTCTGGCATTGTTGGAGCCTATCCTGATGACAACCTGGAGATTATCAGCTGCAGAATGCTTCTCCGGCATGACTCCATGGGATGACTCCATCAACACACCTGTACACGTGTCACTGGAAGGAAAGATGCCAAATGCTTCCTTAACAACCAACCAGCATGGCTGAGTCGTTAGCTGAAGATCTATTGCTCTCTGGTGATGTTGGAGCCTGGAAAGTGGTCCACCGCGCTCTGCTCCTGGAATCCCTGCCTCTAACAGGAGGTTCAGCCTTCAGTACCCTAAAGACATATTGGGCAGTACTGCGGGAACAATACTTCATCAGTGAAGAAGCGTGATTATTGCATGATCTTCTTCCTACAATCCATAATGGCAAAGAGAGTTCATACCACACCAAAAAGTACTTATAATATCAGGAAGACATGTAGTAGGATTGGAAACAAAAACATGTGATGTAACCTGCATAGAGCATGGCCCATGACCAGAGACCAAAGCGTGATGTTTTTGTAGAAAGACGGTTTTATGTTGTTTAATTCAGCATGCTGTCGAGCTGTCCGAGACCTCCAGCTTCTCCGGCACTCCGATCGCCCTTAAGTTTGATCTCCGCAAGCGGTTCTCAGGTCATCCAGCTTGACTGTCTGTTTCATCAGCATGTCATTCTTCGAGAGACGCTCAATAGTGGCAAGGCTGCCAAAAGGTTTAATTGGTGACGTGTGTCTCGGTGAGCTATAAGTCATGTCTCCACTGGTATGGCTTAATAAATCCTAAAAGAGTTCTTTGAGAGCTACGGATCTCTTGCCGACTCCAACCGCATGCACCCTGAAGTTGATGCTTTTTTTATTTTAAAAATGTTCCTTTTGAAAAGTCTCCGTATGAAAGATACTATAGCCGAATGTCACTGTTTAACTTGTTAAACTGATGTCTGCCCGGTGTCACAGATGGCACAGAGACAAGCTGCTGGCACCTCCAGAGCTGCCAGCCGAAGACGCTGGTGGCATTTGAGACAACGATGGAGGATGGTCGGGGTGTTTGAGGTCAACCAAGAGCACGAGTTCTACCATCTGACATCTATGATTAAAGAAGGCCTGCATGCTTCCATCCAGACCACTATGGACACATCAGGCCAGGTGAGGACTCTCCCAGTTAAAGGCCACTGGTTGTATTATAAACATGAAACATCGTAGACACAGATTCACTCATAAACACTTCACCTTTTGCACAGGATACACCTGCAGCTGAAGATGTCAAGGTAGAGCAAACTCAAGAGGCAAGTAGTAATGTCAGGCTGAAAACACAAGCTTTGTCTTTTTTCATACTTTCATTTTGTTGTTCTCAGAATTCCTGTCAAGCTGTTTAAAACAAACACCGTGTCATTCTCAAGGCTTCTATTCAATCCTTGCCTTCCAGGGGTTTGAGATGCAGACATTTGCAGGATCAGTGTTTTCTAAACTGAGGCGTTCACTGGACATCACAGAGGAGGAATACATGAAATCCCTCTGCTCAGAAGACTGCTACCTCCAGTTTGTCAGTAACTCCAAGAGCAAGGCAGACTTCTTCATCACGTAAGCTCTTCACATGATCTACACACAGACCTTCCACTGACTTCTTCTTCACGTTATCTCATCCTAATTCAAATTTCAAACCAAACCAACACCCAAAAGGGAAATCAAATAATAGTTCAATAAGATTGTGGAGGCAAGAAGCACCGTCCTTGTCTTCCAATCTTCCAACATGGAATGTATGAGGCAGAGGTTCACAGTCAGTGCGTTACCTGCTGTAGAAACGGGCAGCAGTACTAACACCAGAGCAAAGCAATGTGCTGCTGTGGATGCGAGCAGCAGCAACATGTATTTTAGTAACCAAGATGTAAAGCACACCCAAAAAAATCCATAATTGTGTAAGTGTTTGATTAACCCATCTGGATTAATTTGTATGTTTGAGAGAACAGTGGCATGCAGATGTGTTATTCAGCCGAGTTACTGTGTACTTTCCAGAACTGCACCTGGTGCCACAGCCATGGCAGCAGGTGCAGCACCTTTGACTATCACGTAGGAGACCAGAGCCTATCACAGACCATTCATCACGGTGACATGTTTTATTCACAGTCACCATGGTCTGTCTATAAACGTAGCTGTACTGCAGTACTGCAGCTGCCATTTAAGTGTAGAAAGTGAAAATTTACAAAATGTTGCCATTGGACATTAAAGAAGCTTTGAACAATGATTCACTATTGGTGTCTGTGTCTTCTGGCTGTTCTTGGTTTCAGGAATGACAAGAGATTCTTCCTAAAAACCCAGAGCAGACGTGAGGTGAACTTTCTCCTGTCCAATCTGCAGGCGTACATGGACCACCTGGAGAAATACCCTCATTCACTGATGGTGAGGTTTCTCGGTAAGAGGAGCTTCGGTTAATGCTGCAGTAGCTGTTTCAACTCTAAGAGTATTAGCGACACTTTGCTGTCACTGTTGAGCACGAGGTCCTCGGGAGTCAAAACATTTTGTAATAACAAAGACCTGTTCTACTCGACCGCTACCTTGATACTCGAGAAACAGAAATGTTCAGCATCAACAGCTTTCGATATGTTTTGGTAAAGAATCATTTTAGTGGACACCAAAAATGATTGACATTTGAATGATTCAATACCGACAAAGAGTTATGGATGGACAAGCTGTTACATACCATTTAAATGCTAATTAATGCCACAGTCTAGCCCCATAACAAGACTATGAATCAGATATACTGTATATACTGTATATATTCAAAGATCATTTAATCACTTATTGTCACTATGCAACACAGGGATGCACAACAGAATGCAACTCAAGAAAAACAAGACACAAAATTATGTAAACAGGAGAAATATAATCAGCAGCAATACAAATATTTCTCTGGACAAATAACATTGCTGTCATTTTAAGATGAAATATTAGGAAGTCCTCTTTGAGAAGCTGAGCTTGTGTTTGTGTTTGTTCCTCAGCTTTAACACTCGTTAAAGACAATCAAGTCCTCTGTCCTTCATCCTGAGATAGTTGAATGCACTGCATCCTGTTGACCTTCATATTGCTGTGAAGAAATATGATTTAAGAATATGCTTTATTCTTCTACCAAGACAGACATGGGTGGAAACTTCTCATCAATAGCCGATGTTGTGCCCGGGTATACAAAGGCCTAACCTAACCATTGCTCTTTTGACTTTCCAGGTGTCCACAGGATTGTTATTCCTAATCAAATAAAGGTATTCTATTAACATGATAATATATATAACTGGTTCTATCCTTACAGTACCAGTACTCACAATGCAGTGTTGTCTGTCTGCGTTCCAGAAGTACTTCATTGTGATGCAGAGTGTGTTTTACCCTGATGAGAGGATCAATATCAGGTACAGTCTCAATGCTTCTGCTTTGTTTTGTTGTGTTGATTTCTGATAAATGTTATGGTTGTATGAAAGCTGTGACCTTGTTGTTGCATAGATACGACATTAAAGGCTGTGAGCTGGGGAGATGGACTGACCCTGACAAAGGGGGGAAACGGATAATAACAGTGCTGAAGGACAATAACTTCGAAGGGCAGTCCATTGCGTTAAGTGAGTGTCTGCTCCCTTACACTTACTCTACTTATCTCTGGAGTCATACGAACGATGCTCTTGAGCAATGCACACTAAATGGAAAACCGTGTGTTGTTGATTTAGGTCAAGAAAAATCCTGGTTTGCCAATCAAGTGAAAGTGGATGCTGCCTTCCTTCAAGGACTCAATGTGCTGGACTATAGTCTCCTGCTGGCCCATCAACCTCTGCACAGAGATGAGCTGGAAGGGAAACACTCTTTGGCAAACCTTGTTCTACGCACCACAAAGTAGGTTTTATATGTCCTTTGAGCAGCTGCAAAACCTATTTTTGTGCATTACATTATGTCTCATTTTTCACTTTTTTGTCAGTTCAGTAAACTCTAGAAGAAGTTTTACATACTTCCTCAAAGGGAATGTGCTGTTAAAGGACATACGCCCCTGCTTTCTTTAGAGCTGGAGGGGAAGATCATGTCCCATGAGCGCTAATGCAAATCTTAGCTTAGCATAAAGGCTGGAAGCAGGGAAAACAACTTGCTCGTCTCTCTCTAAATTTCATAAAAAGTCTGTGCTTACAGGATTAGGGTTACAATATCGTAACCTTCTTCTAACTCACACAGGCTCCGCCTTCTACTAGGTTTTTTGGGTGCAATGGATGCACGCCCTGCTGCAACATAACATAGACCCAGCCACATTGATCCTGACTGACTAAAGCTTTCTTAAACCTTTTATAAACTAGTGGGAAACTCTGTACAAACAGTATACACTACAGTACATTATCTGTTTACATGCAGCAGACAAACAGACAAAAAAACAGGATTTTCCTGTCAATATTATCCCACAAAAGCAAGCAGACATATCTGAGGGACGGGTGAAATAGAATACTTTACTGATCTGGGAGGCTTCCTAAAGCAACTTCTTGACCCACACAGTGTGGCAGGACTGACATTAACAGCTATTGTATGAGGTAAACCATTATTGGTCCTTTTTTATCGGTAGGAGAAGAAACACGCATTAGCTCGGCGAGGCCTTCATTTTTCATTCATCACTTAAGTTTTAAAAGAAGGAAAGAAAAAAAGACAACTAAATGCATACTTAGAATAACAACTCATCACTGTGGCTGAGAGAGTCGTCTTTCAATCTGAATCGGTGGTTTGATCCCCGGCTCCTCCAGCCCCATATCAATGTGTCCTTGGGCCTGTGCCTGAGGTGCATAAATGAGTGTGAACGTTTTGTCCTGATGGACAGCTGGCACCTTGTATGGTATGGTATGGTAGCTCCTGCCATCATGGTAAATTGTAAATGGACTGTACTTGTATAGCATATAGTATTTTCTAGTCTTTCAGACCACTGAAAGAGCTTTCACACTACATATCGTCATTCACCCATTCACACCTGCCATCAGGACCGACTAACATTCACATTCACACACTCTGGGCACAGCTACTGGAGCACTTTTAGGGTTAAGTGTCCTGCCCACAGTCATGAGTGTGTGAATGGGTGAATGAACATGTGGTGTTAAAGCGCTTGGAGTGGTCAGAAGACTAGAAAGTTGTTATACAAAAACAAGACAATTCACCCATCCATTTACCGTACTTTGATGTCTAATGCATGCTGCTACATACAACGCTTGCAGGTTGAAATGTATGCAGACTTGAATTGATATGATCTCTTTATGAAACCGATAGTTCCTGGTTTAGTTTGTTCAGTGAGTCATTAGTTGAATGCCTGCTTTACTCTGATACCCTTCTAAATGTGTTCTGTGGATTCTATGGTTTTCTTTCCCAAAGGTCTGTGGACTTAGTTGACAGTCCCACAGGGTCAGACCCTCCCACCGTTCCATTACTGAGAGAGGCCGTGGCCGAGGTGGCATCACATACTACAGACGAGCCACAGGCAGCAGCTGAGGACGCTGGTGAAGGGATTCCCCTCCAGGAGATGAACTGCGCTGTGAAAGAAACCAGCACGGACTCAGAACTGCAGGAATTTCTTGAGCATCATCGTAGGCTACTGCCCAACTGCAAAAATGCAATTCATGTGGTAGATGGGCCCGATCATCGCTACTTTGTGGGCATTATAGACATTTTCACCGTCTACGGCTGGAAGAAGAGACTGGAGAATGTGTGGAAATGTCTCCGCTACCCAGGCAGGGCCTTCTCCACAGTCCGCCCCGCCAAATATTCACACAGATTCTGCCAGTGGATTCAGAACCACTCTCAGTGACCACATGAAGAAAACATTCAGCACTGACATACATAGCACCTGATGCATAACCCCCAGTGTCCACAGGACAGCCATCGTTGTTGCATTCTGGTTCTGTTGTGATGGCGTGATGGAGCAGTGGCTCAACCAGAACGCGATGAGCTGCGTCTAGAGGACAGTGATGAAGTGTTTGTGTAGAGGTTGTAACCTTGTGTGCAGTTGCTGAGCTGGGTTGTGCTATAGACACAATAGAACAATGATAGGGGGTCCAGGGTAGTGGCAGGTTTCAATTCATAAATAAACAAACCTTGCAGTGGTGTTGGCAGATTGTATAGAGGCACTCCCCATGTTGTCAGTTTATTCTATTTACTGGCTCAGACCACCCTTTCAAGTCTTTCAGTTGAGTTTGCTTCTTTCTCTTTGATATAAACTTATGTTTTGTGCGTCGGTAAATGTACATAAAAATACAACTTTAAATACCTTGAATGGGTTATAATGCAATTCACAACTGTTGAATGTAAAACTTCCTTCACATGCAGTCATTATGCAGCAGCAGGTACACGCTGTCTACACAGCATGCTTCAGTCAGCATTTATCCCTCTCATGCATGTCTGCCTGAACAGATATTCACTGGATGGGACAACTGCCTTGTTTTGAGTGAGTTAGAACCTTTGAAGCAGGAAACTAATGTGCTGTGACTGACCCTGTCTCTCCGGGTCCACAGTGAAGATTGCCAGAGCTGAGCCCTCTTTTACCTTCACTTCATAGCTTCCATAAACTCCTCCCACACCGGCCCAGCTGACGCCCCTCTGGTGCTGCTCTCTCTATCTCTGGGCCAACCAAGCAGAAGAAGATTGTTCCTGTCCGGTGCTTTTAGTGCACATTGCTGTGTAACGCTTGCCAGAGGATATGAGTTCAGTCCTGCCCTGGTCGGGGAACACCAGTGATTTATTCTTCTTTTGTCCTTTCTATGCTGAAATTGAAAAGTGATTACTGTTGTAAATACATTTGTTTTCATTCAATATAAAATGGATTAAATTTGTAAATGGCAATCAGAATTGTATAGAAATATGTATGTAATTGCTCCATATGCACCATCACTAGTGAAGATTTATTAAATGTATGTTTGCAAAGAAACTTCTGTTCTTAGATTATTCTTTGAGACACTATGAAAGCTGTTCAATTTTTAAAAATATTTCTTGTTCTGTTGAATGTAAAATGTTTTCATCGGCATTTTACTCACAACATTCAGTGTAATGACTCTTACCTTCATGCAAAATATAACATAACAATTACAGGATCATTTCATATATATTTCATCTTCAATATAAGTAATGAACAGAGCATTACACAGCACTTCTATGTACAGTCCATCTACACAGGGCCAAACACACTAATAAGCTAATAATCATCTAATAATCCAAGAAACATGTGACTTGAAAGGAAGAGGAAACTTTAGACTGGTTGATCAGAATTCTAAACTTTTAAATACACTTACTGTACAAGTGTAGCTACATAGAATATAAAAGAACAGCAATAAGTGTGTAAAGCACACTATTACGATTGCAGCGTTCTGAAGGTTTCAAGTTGTTTACGTTCCCTAGGAGCTCTGCATCCAATGGGATTGGTGTATCCATCATCTTTGTCAGCATGTCACATAAATCACACCAACATATTGTGATTTTAGCACACTGCCATGTGCAACATCGATCCCTCAGTAATACCACAACTGAAACCTATTTGAAATCAAAATATTTTTGAGTGTTGAGGGACAACATTGTAGCTGGAAAACATAAACCTGTCATTATGCTGTGGTGAATATGCTGTTGTGACATAAATCAGACCATAGTTCCTCGTCTAGTGGCGCCAGACTCTTGATCGTTCGTTATGTTTTGGACCTTGATCCATCATTGTTGAATATACTCGGCTAATACATGTCCTTCAACCTTTGCTATCGTGATGCACCTCCTCCATCTTTGTCAGGACAAGTAACACCATTAGTTCACACAGACCTATCGGTGGCAGAAAACAAAAGACATGTTTGTTGGCCAGATCCCATTTCTCTTTTAGCTGTTGGAGGGACATGAAGATGTCATCACTGTGACAGCGCTTCTATCAGGCCATAACTTTATTGAATTATCAGAGGTGTTACATCTTAAAGGATGTTATACCAGGATTTATCCAGCTGGACTTAAGTGTTTATTCCTACCTCTTAAAGAGGGGGCAGCGTCATGTTTAGATACAAAGATCACAGAAATCTCATTTGTGCTGCCTAATAGTAACATTTTGAATTCGGGAGTCGGAGGCCACCCATCTCTTAATGATCATTTCTCTAAACTCACCCGAGGTGGTTCCAGATGGTTCACGTATGTTTTTATTAAGAGATTTATAGATAATATCTGGGATTGGGGGGGGGGGGGTGATTGAAATGAATGCAAACTGTTCCTCTTAATACAGCTGACTGACAAAAATGGTTGGAGGTAGTTGTGTCCACTTCTTTAGGTCACCCTCTGTTTGTTGGAATCAGCACAGCGTAGTGTCCTGGAAAGGAGATCTGTTCAACCTGCATCTACTTGTCTCTACTCTGTCTGGCTCTATTACTAATCCTAGCAGCACTGCTGCATGATCGGTCAATGCTCTGGTTCCTATTGAGCAGTCTGACACACTCTCCACCAGATCCTTGCTTATCAGAATGTAATCTATCCTGGAGTGAGATCTGTGACTGTGAGAGTAGAATGTGTATTCCCTCTCTTTAGGGTTGACAAGCCTCCAGATATCTGTCAATCAAAGGTCCTTCAACAGTAGTTTAATTCTATCTTTTTGCATTTTAAAAGGAGTTGATTTATCCAGAGCCCCATCCAAATCTTGGTAAAGGTCTCCAGCTATGATGTATGCTTGTCAACTATGCTCCCCAATCATATATTTACTTTATGAAAGAAGCCTGGATCTTCCATATTTGGCGCATAGATATTACATAGATTAACTTTTATTCTGTAAGTTTTAGCTTTCAAACATGTCATTCTTCCATCCTTGTCCCTTTCTTCTCTTAGCATTTGGAAATTCAGCTTTTTGTGCAGCAGAATAGCCACTCCATGTTTTTCACCAGAGTATGAACTATAGAAAGCCGGACCAGCCCAGTCTCTGCTCAATGTAGCCGCCTCTGAATCAATCAAATGAGTCTCTTTTATGAAAGCCACGTCAGCTTGTTGGGATTTTAGGTATAATAAACACTTTTTCCTTTTTATGGGATTTTGTAGCCCATTTACATTCCAGGACACTATCCTCAGACAACTAGCCGCTGACTAACAGATGGTTTTATACTCTCCATATTAAGATGATAGCTGCATATGAGAGCAGTACGCACAAAACAGAACAGAAACGAGATGCCACCCAGAACATTACAAAACAAGACCTTGACTTTGTCATTGTTGTATTTACCGTCGGCATTCACTGCTCGTGGAACCTCTGGCACAGCGGTAGGTTGGCAGACGGTGCCCTTCCTTCATTACCGTTCCCGTGTGCATACCTGGAGCATCCTGGATGCAGGCCACATGCTTCAACTGGAACTTCTGAATCTCGCTCATCCGGCCCAGTTGATTAGTGGGACTCCCAGTCACGACCAGCGTCTCTATCAAAGGCCTGGATATGGCTCTCCATCAGGGCCTGGGTCTCTTTGGTCCTGCGGGTGGTTCTCCTGCAATGCAGAGCTAGCTTACTTCTACTGATAGAGCCTCAGATGGTTCGGCTCAGCACGCTTCACCTCCTTCAGGATCTTCAGGTCGTCTTTGTCCCACATACAAATACAATGGCTGAGGTGACTCATGAAGGTTGTATACAACTAGTGAGTCAGTAGTGCAACGCACAGCAAATCTCTGCATGAAGTGCCTGATGTCTAACCGGATGGTCATTTGATCCCATTCTTCACACAGTTAAAATATAGTAACTCATGAGGAGCCACCCCAGCTACTCTTATGGCTTCATGAGGACATGATCACCTATCCATGCAGATTACCAACATTGGCTGCTCAGGTAACGGTGCCATAGCTGTCTCTTGCAAGCTTTCAGGCCACTTTTTGGTTGGTGGATGGTGGCATTGATCTCATCCAGCCTTTGCAAGACATCCTGGGCATGAACCTGCATCAGCCACCAGTGTTTGGAAACAGGATCAAGCCCGATTTGACAGCACTGGCAATCCCCTTGCAATCTGTCAACTGTCTTCACCAACCAGATCTCAGCATTATGCTCCTGCAGCTTCCGCTGACTGCTGCTGTTTCCCAGCCCTCAATGACGCATGCAAGTTTTGATGTAAAGATGAAAGGGAACTGCATCCTGTGGCCAAAGTTGCTTTTGCTTGCATCTTCGGCAGGCCAGGTGCTGCTGGGTGATGGGTGTGTGTGTGCTTGAACAGTTTGTTAAACATGTTCAAATAGATCCACAAATGTGTATATATCATTCTACATGTAAACCTATAACATGTTTATTGGAAATTGAAATATGTGTTTATAGAGTAAATTATGCACATTTGCAAAGCGCCCTGTGTTTTTGTAGATATGACTTTACACAACATAAATAAATAAAAAACATATTTGTGGATGTGATATATTTTTGGATCATGGTACACGGTTGTGGATATTTTTCTTTGGTTTACGAATATTAAAGTCCAAAAAAACATCCGTACGTAGCACGTAAATGAAGATATAGTATAAAATAGAAGCTATAAACAAGCCTGAGTAGCAAGAATGCTAATTTAAATCTGTGGTCTCTAGGCAGGTAATACAAACAGAAACATTATAAGTGACAATACATCTAGAGCAGTAGATGATTCGCCTCCACTATTATCGCTCTCTCCTTCCTCTGGCCTATACCAACTGTACCCCATAGTCTCCCCCCCCCCCCCCCCCCCTTTGTGGGCATCACAGCCGGGCCGCCGTCGATGTAATAAACAAGGGTCGCTCACAATCACTAGACATCATGAAGTTCATCCACAGACTCACCTTAACCTCAGGCCCACATTCAGGCTACCAGAACTCCATCGCAAACTCACTCTCTCACTTCAAACATTCAAATCCTCAGCAGCAGATTCAGACCCCCACCCGACACTGGTCCCTTCGTTTTCAGCAGCCATCAACACCTGCACCCCCAGCACCTACACCTGGTCATCGCCACACGTCAAGCAGTTTTGAATTATACATGCTCCAAAACCTCTTCCATCTTACTAAGGATGGTGACGTTTCAAATCCTTCCATACGTCACACAACCTGCCTTTTCCTTCCATCGAGACCATAATCTTAATCAGAACGTCCGCCATACAAGTATACCGTAGTGGTATATCCATTTCTCACCCCTACGACAAAGGCCCTCAAACGTTGGAACCCCATCTTGTACCAAGATGCTCACCCTTGACGGCAGACCTTCTCTTCCATTGCATCCAAACCCCACGCACAAGTTACCTATACCCTCCTATCAACTCAACCCTCAAATCCATGTTCTTCCATTCTTTATATCTTTATGATGCTCTGAATTCACCACCACCGATGATCATTTCCCAGTTCTCATCCCAGTGAATGTAAACATGTATATGCAAGAATGGAATGCATTTACTCCATGGTGTTTTGATAAGATATGTTGTGAGAACTCCGCTCATATAATCTCACTTGAAGGTAACATTAAAGAATGCACAATGCAAATACTAACCACATTTTAAATGCAAGTACACTAAAGAACACATGGCAGCAAGCGAGTGGTGCCTTGGTGGAATGAAGAATGCAGATCAGAATAGGACTTTTAGATCATTGAGAAGCAATCTGACAGAAGAAAAGGGCAGCGGCTCGTAGGAGAGGATGAAGTGGGAGTTGAAACTAGTGCCTACCTCAGGAACAGTTATCCAGGTTATCTCAAAATCTCCACAGAGGGTTCTAAGAAGAAACAAAAGTGTGTTGGAATTGGTGTGTATATATCCCGGATTTCCATATATCTATCTCCAAAAGACTGCCTGACCAGTTGTCAGTCGATGCAGCAGAGAGAGTGGCAGCTTGTATTGGTTTGCAGTGGTATGAAGAGGTCAGACATGATAAGGTGGTGGTGTGCTCAGCATACACATACGGGAAGATGTTCTCATTGAACTGGACCTATGTTTGCTGAGACTAGACAGAGGTGTAGATGTGCAGAGTGTGCTGACAAGCTTGCAAAAAGGGCCTTACAAAATAAAACAACTGTACCAATACCATGAGGCTGAGAAGAAGAAAAGCAGTAATTAAGAAGAAAAGAATGGAGAAGTGGCAGAAAAAGTGGGAAGAAGATAGAAACGGAAGTAGGGTATCACAAAATACAAAAATCAGTCTAACTAACAAAGCTAAGTTAAAAAAGGAGCAGAAGGGAGGAACTCGTCACAGGAACGTTTAGATTAGCACAGCTTTAAATGGAGTGATAGGGCTGGGCGGGAACAGGTTCTGTTTGAGATACTGGAACAGAAGCCTTTCTAACCGACACAAGGTTGATGGTAAACAGGTTGAAACGATGTGGTGTTACACCCTCCTGTACAGTAGGTGGCAGTATGCACCCCGAGCTGTTTGCGGGCCGCCATTTAAACCGAGAGAAGAAACGCCTGCACCTTATTTTGTGCCTCTTGGGCCGCCGTTAGTCGAGTTCCATGGAGGAGGAAACATGGATGTGTCCCAAACGTCATACTGCACTTTGCTGGATAAAAACAACCAGTCGAAGTTCCTTTGCTACACACGCAGAACAACCGGAATGTTTAACATCTGGTGAGTCGAAGGTTGTGTTAAAATATACATAAACGTGACCTCATAGTACGTGTTTCCTAGAACGGACAGAACGCTCATCAAACCTGCATTTAAACATTTAAACCCGGGGGCACGGTGATATCCCGCTGTTTATCAGCGTTACGACACTAAACAGCATACGTATACTTATGCGTTCATTTGAGACCACGTCATGAATGGCGTTGTACATATGTGTTTATTACATTATGTCAATGTAAGGACACAGGAGCAGGTGTGATGTCATGAAACTCTTTCATCATCACGTGTTTGTTCTTCTTCTTGAGTTTGACAGATGCAGCCGCTGTCTGGAGCGCAGAGTACACCGAGGACGCGTTGACCCAGTTCGTAAGTTTCCTCTGCAGACCCCCACAGCGTGCTCGCGTGCTCCCTTCCTTCCGTGGTAACTGGTTGTAACTGTACCTGTTTGTTTAGAGACAGAGGTTTGCCTTGAGATCTACAGAGGATTATATTCTAAAACTCAGGTGAGATCACAATCTGTCCTCTTAAAACTACTGTGTGGAATATTGAAGCGAGTTGGTAGAAGTCAGTGGTGCTAGTGAAGCTTCACAGCCATCAGCAGCACATTCTGTGTGTGTGTGTGTGTGTGTGTGTGTGTGTGTGTGTGTGTGTGGGGGTGGGGGTGTGTGTGGGGGAGACTTTACAATAAATGCTACATGGAACCATTATTGAGGCTAAATGTTCCTCTCTCTTCCCTCAGGTCGGCCTGTGGAAGAGGGGACGTGTCTGTTGTGGTGCATGACTCCAGTGCAGAGCTCCATGTGAGCTCCGGTCCAGCTGACCAGAGTGTGACCTTATCCAGGCTGGAAGGCCCGCAGGCCACAACGGAGCTGAAGGAGCTGCTGTTCAGGATGGCTGACCGCCTCACTCAGCCCGACAGTAAACGCTCTTTCTTCTTCTGTTGTTTCACATTGAGTGCAGGTTTGAGCTTATTATAATTAGGGTTGGGTACCGAAACCCGGTGCCAATATATTACCGGTTCCTATACGACCGGTATCTACCGGACCGAAACGCAACGCAGATTTCGGTGCCTGAGCCGATTGAAATACTTTTTTACACTACTCTGATGACTCCGTCCTCCGCTCCTCACTCATAGTATTATTACAATTGGACGAGCTGTGCGCGCTTAGGAACAAACCCCTCCATCATTCTGGCGACGCTTCGGCCATGATTTGTTAAAAAAACCGAGAACGAGACCTGTCAAACGGCTGGCAGGCTACTGACTTCCTCATCGACATCCGGGTACTTAGCGCTGGCGCTAAGCACAACATCCGGCAGTGAAAGCTTCTTCTTCTTCTTCTTCTTCTTTGAGGTGTAGTGGCGGTTGGCAAACGATAAATTGGCGCATTAGCGCCACCAACTGGTAAAATTAAAATAAAATAAAATAAGTCAGGAGAGGTGTCGTATTTTGCCAAATATGCTCGTATTTCTGCAAAATAATTGCTGAAGTTTGAAGCTGTAGTGTGTGTACAGAGTGTGTGTGTGTGTTTTGTATTTATTTATATTTATTTAAATATACTGTAAACTGTTAACAGTTAATATATTGTTCATAGTTTGAAGTTAAAAAGTTTGAAGCTGTAGTTTGAAGCCAAGTGTTTTGTATTTATTTATATTTGTAGTATACTTTAAACAGTTAATATATTGTTCAATTTGAAGAAAAAAGTATCGGTTCAGGCACCGTTTAGGCACCGGTATCGTTTTAGGACCGGTATCGGAAAAACCCCAAACGATACCCATCCCTAATTATAATAATGAGAAATATAGCCGCAAGCAACGATTTCGGGGTTCAAGCGAACACAGTTGAAAGCTGCGAAGGTTCTAGACCCCCGACACACTTTGTGACACCTGCAGTAAAGAACCAACAATCTAAAAGATGCTTATTCATTTATGGACAGATCTTCTCTTCTTCGGCCACACCGTCACTATTAATACATTTTGAAAACATTCTGGGGCTATGTTTTAACGTCTTTATTGAAAATAGTCACCAAGTTTGGTGACGTTTGGACTGATGATCATTGATTCATGTCCACATTTGCTGCAGACCCATGCACATGTTTGGGACTGGTGGCGCCCCCTAGTGAGCCATTTCAAAACAGTTGTGCACACTTGGTTCAGCATCGTTATGAAATGTATCCTGCGAGTTTTGTGTTGATTGGTCAAATAATTCCTGATTTATAGTCTGGTCGTGTTGTGCCACGCTGTTGGAAACTGTCGGTGTTACTGATACACTCTGAAACACTCTGAAACACTCTGAAACACTCTGATAC